TTGCCAATTGCTGCTGTAACAAATTTCTCCAGACTTTGGGCCTAAGACAACACAAACTTCTCATCCTGCGGTTCTTCAAGTCAAACGTCCAACACAGTCTCACAGGGCTAACATCATGGTCTCGGCGGGGCTGCCTTCCTCCTGGAGGCTCTAGGGGAGCAGGCGTTCCCTTGCCTTTTCCAGCTCCCAGAAGCTGCCCTCATTCCTGCGCTGGAGGCCTCTTCCTCATCTTCAAAGACAGCGAGGGCGGCTGAGTCCTCACAAGGCATCGCTTGGACCTTCTCTTTGGCCTCCTTCTCCTACTTATAAGGACTCTTGTGGTCACGCTGGGCCTGCCCAGATACTCTGGGATAATCTATTTTAGAGTCAGCTGGTTAGCAACCTTCATTCCATCTGCAACCTTAATTCCTCTCTGCCATGCAGGGTACATAGTCACAGTGTTTGATATTATGACCTAGATGTCTTTTGGAGTCATTATTCTGCCTAACAAGACACATAATACATCAAAACAAAAATCTTTTAAATCCTAACAAAGCCAAACAACTTTTAGGTCAGCAATAGGTGAGGCTGGACAGATTGATGTGTGAACACACGGGACAAAAAGACTGTGTAGATCAACAGGGGAGGAGGCTGTGCCAGGCAGCACTGGAGGCATCATCATCACCATCTTATTATTAGTGTGGACATCATATCGGATAATATTATTATATACATCATTTCATGTATTATTATTGTTATTGCTGTTGTTGTTTTTATTTATTACGCATTCATAATTTCCTAGGTATTAATCTAAGTGTTTTACAATATTATAACTATCAGGTAGGTATTATCATCTCCATTTTACATATGGGGGAACTGGGACTCAAAGAAACGAAGGCACTTGTTCGGGGTGAAATGGCTGATAAGTGGCAAGTGTGCCTACTGCTCAGAGCCACTGTGCACTATTGCCAAGGAGCCAGGAGGCAGGCGTCCAGAGGATGGGGTCAGCTAGCTCAAGAATTCAGCCAGACCTGTCTAGGGTCAGCACATCCCTGTTGGGGAGACAGGGCATTAGACAGTTTTAGCCGATCCCATAACTACACCCCTATTATGAGTTCCCCAAGCAACTTCCAGAAACTTGGCTCCCTGCACACTGTCAACAGGGCATGAGTACGTGTAGACGGCCCAGGAGTTAGGCTAGGAAGGGATGGGAATTGCACTGGGTCTGCACATCAGGCTGTGGGCTTGGCTCCTGCAGGTCCTCTGCAGTCAGGCCTCCAGGTAGCTGATGTGCAGGCCTGGCCAGCACAGCTGGGGGCCTTCTCCACGTTGGCTCCCCTCGGCAGCCTCCCGCTACAGCACGCTTCAACTTGAACTTCCTTCCTCAGAGCAGTTAGGAGAGTTGCTTCCCTGGTCTTCTCAAATCCTCCGGAAGAAATGGTGAGACCCGAGAGAGGCTGTACACAGGAGGCGCCCAGACACACAGGCAGCAGCACCATGGTCCACCGGGAGCCCAGCCTGAGCCAGGGCAGAGGGCCCCCCCTTGGCATGTTGGCGCTGGAAACCTGGAGTCTGAGCCCCCGCCTGCCCTTCACCCATTTCCCACCCCGTCATCACAAAGTGGCCGTGCCCACAGCAGCACTCCACAGACACAGGGCCTCCGGGGCAGGGATTCCTGTCCCTGCTGCTCCCCTCAGCTGTGAAGAGAGTATTATTCCCCAGCCTGCAGAGCCTGAGCCCAGTGCCATCTGGAGCCGCCCCACCTGGAGAGGAAGCATCTCCACTGCCACATCCTCGGCTCCACCTGCCTGGGCGCCCGGGCGGGAGGCAGCCCCCGGGCTGCACTGGGGGAAGGGAAGCAGCATGGTGGGGCTCATTAGGCATTGGTTTGGTTTCAGGCTGTATTTTGAAAACTCTCATCACTAATGAGCTGTGTAGAGTGCTGGGGACAAGGAAGGCACCAAGAATCTCCGGGTATAATTCCTCCCAATTAGACAAAATATTCAGAGGTTGGGAGTAATTCCCTGAATTTTCTAGTGAATCATAGACATCCATGGTTTTTCAGAACAGGGTCTTTTAAGATCTTTTACTGAGGAGTTTGAAAGTTGAGGGATCTGGGGAGGACAGAACGCTAGGGGAGACATGGGAGCAGCTTAGAAATATCTAGAAGTCTGTCATTCTCAGGAGCCACCAACTCTGTGACTGGGGAGGGGGGATCCACATTCAGAAATCACAGGCAGCTGGGGGTGGTCCCATAGAAGGAAGAAGGTTCTGAAACGGAAGAGCTGCCCAAAGTTGGGGGAGGCTCCCTTGGGAAGGGAAGTGGAGGAAGAGAGAGAGGGAGAGAGTGTGTGTGTAGGTGTGTGTGGTGTGTGTGTGTGTGTGTGGTGTGTGTGTGTGTGTGGTGTGTGTTTGTGTGTGTGGTAGGAATCCAGTCTTCTAGGGGCCCTGGACTTGCTGTGGGACGGGTCTTCACTGTACTGGGTCCAGCCATGACTGGGTCGGGCCCACAGGTGCCCCTCAGATGGACAGTGTTGCTGCTCCACTGCGGCAGATCCAGAAGCTGACACTGAGAGGCTGGCAGGGCTGTGACACGCTCGTACTGGTTACAAGCTGAAGACCCCTGGATCCCTCTGTGGACCAGGTGAGCACATGGGTGATGCTGGCCGTGCCCCTCACACAGCAGGCAGAGCCCGGGCTCTGTTCCTGCTCCTGAGGGAAAGGGCTCAGCTCAGTCCCTGGCTTGGCAGCTAACTAGTCACCTGGCCTTTTATTCAACCTCAGTTTCCTCATCTATAAAACGAGGACACTGAATTCACAGGGTTCTTGGGAGGATTAGCTGAGATAACACAAGGCAGTGGGGAAAACGCTAGCAGATGCTAAGCTGCGTGCACGGCATGGCCATCCTGGATGGTCATGGCCAGTGTCTACAGCAACTGTTGAGTGTCCTGAGCATCACCCCTGCAGAGAGCTCAATGAATGCTAGCTAGTATTCTAAAAGCAGGTGTCAATACAAACTTACACTTGACCCGTTCATCAGAAATCCATAAGTGCCGGCCCACAGTGTCCCTCCACCGCCCTGGAGAGAGACTTGTTCTCTCAGTGACCCTGGATCTCAACGCCACCCCATCAGCTCAACTCCAAGGACATCATCTGGACCAGGGCTTGGCACCCTGTGGCCTGCAGCTAACTTGTGTGGTCTGAGAGCTAAGAATGTTGTTATACTTTAAATGGTTGAAAAAGAAATCAAGTGCCGGCCCCGTGGCTTAGTGGTTAAATGCGTGCGCTCCACTACTGGCGGCCCCGGTTTGGATCCCAGGCGCGCACCGACGCACCACTTCTCCAGCCATGTTGAGGCCGTGTCCCACATACAGCAACTAGAAGGACGTGCAACTATGACATACAACTATCTACTGGGGCTTTGGGGGAAAAAAAAGGAGGAGGATTGGCAATAGATGTTAGCTCAGGGCTGATCTCCCTCACACACACAAAAAAACAAAAACCCAAGTATCTTTACTTAAAAAAAAAAGAAAAAAAATATCAAAAGAACAATAATTTTTCCATGACACAAGAAAATTTTACGGAATTTAAATTTGCATGCCCACACGTTGAGTTTGACTGGACGCCCGCGCGCTGTTTCTGTGTCGTCTGTGGCTGCCTCAATGCCATGACGGCTGAGGTGAGTGGTGTGACACACCCTGCAACCTGCAGCGCCTGCAGTCCTTCCTCCCTGGCCCTCGACAGGGGAGGCGTCCGACCTGATCGAGATGGAGCCTCTGCAAGCCCGGACACGGCGCTGGACCTAGCAGACGCTCAGGACAGTGGTGGCCCTCTCAGGTCCCAGGCCCGGGAGACACGTGGAAGAGCTGGCCAGCGGGCAGTGTGGCCGGCAGGGGAAGGGTCCTCACAGCAACACCAGGATTGTCTCCTTGGGAGACCGCTCACCTTTTCACTATTTGTTTTTCTTTTTTTTGTGTGTGTGAGGAGGACTAGCCCTGAGCTAACATCCATGCCAATCCTCCCCTTTTTTCTTGAGGAAGGCTGGCCCTGGGCCAACATCCGTGCCCATCTTCCTCTACTTTATATGGGACGCCGCCACAGCACGGCTTAGCAAGCGGTGTGTTGGTGCGCCCAGGATCCGAACCTGCGAACCCCGGGCCACCGCAGTGGAGCGCGCGCACTTAACTGCTGCGCCACCGGGCCGGTCCCTCACCTTTTTACTATTTAAGCAGCATTCCACCGAGAAGAAATTTAGGAAGGAAAGTGTCCCCAGCTGTCCTAATCTGACACCGCCCCCTCTCTCTGCAGTGCCTTCTGGCCCTTACTTGAAGCTCCCTGAGGACTAACTCAAACGGGTCGACCCACCGAGCAAAGTGCCAGCCTCTGACCCCTTGTGAAACCCCAGCACCCGCAGTCCCACAGCCCCAGGCCTAGGTGGGCCACATCGCCCACCTAGGGGCTGGACTGATTCCTGACCTGTAAAACTCTAGCCTGAACTCCATGAAATTGCTAGTTTTGGTAGGAAAAAACAGATGAATATCGGCAATTTCAACAGACTATATACCGTGGAAGCCAATTTGGGGTAATGTTTTATGATTCTAAGATGTCAGAGTGGGGTGCACCTCAACAAAAGCTGTTCCTTGCATGGGGCACACAGGCCCACAGGAACTCAGCCCAGGGGTCCACTCCAGGGTGCCCCCAGCACTGAGGGGACAAAGTCCCCTCACTGCCCCTTCCCTGGCTCTTTGGGCTCAGTACCCCACCAGTTCTGCCAAACTTCCTGTGGGTCCGAGCTCAGGACCCACACGGATTCAGAACACGAAATATGCTCCCATCTACCCCAAACTCATTTTATCCAATGCTCACTTCCCAAGCTCAGGAGCTGAGGAGATGCAGATAGTGAGGGATACCTGGTAAATTTCATCTTCAGAAAATCCCCATTGTCCCGCTTCCCCAAAAGTGGCTCCAGACTTCGGAGAGAGAACACCCACACCCAGAGGACACACCCACCTCTCGCTTACCTCTCTCTGGGCAACGGCTTGGGCTCGGGCCAGATGGCAGCCATGGAGAGAGGTGCTTGCCGGGAAGGGGATGAGGAGAAGTTCAGATCCAAGGAGCCCGCCTTTCTGTGCAGCGGCTCCATCCCCATCGCTCCCTGCATCTCACTTTCTATGGGGCAGGACCCTGCCCGACCATGGATGGACCCAGAGGACACTTCGGGTCCCACTGCACCCTGGAGCGAGGCGTCCACTGCCAGCTGGGGGTCGTGGGTCGGAGAGATGGACGGAGGGGAGCGAGACTTCTTCTTGGTGGATGCCCCAGCTAGAAGTTTCAGCAGCCCACTCTTCTTCTCTTTCTGGAGAGACAACCAAAATTGAAATCAAATGGGTTAATGCTTCTAAATGCCCTTGTTAGTGAGAGGGGAGAAGGATAATCTCGTCTGGAAACTGGAAACAGAATCTTGTCAAGCTGGTTAGAGGAAGAAAACAAAGCCAAGACTTAAAGCTTTTCCAACTCTTGTTTTCCTTCCTTCCCCAGACCTGACAGAAGTGCCCAAAGCAGACCCCGGAGACCCCGGGGCAGGCAGGAAGCCACCCTGCCCAGGAGAGGATGCTGCGGGGGGCGGTCCTGACAACACAGCCCCTCGCCATCAGAGGACCATGTCGCAGCCTGACAACTTCATTTGCTCTGTCGGAGGAAGCAGCAGTCAGCATAATTTGGTTTCTCCTGACCCAGTTTTTCTAAGTGTACTTTGCAGCTGGGGGCTAATAATTCTCCATTAGGCTTCCTGAGATGAGCTGCCCTGACCCTGGGTTCCAGAGCCAAAGGCCATGGGTCCTGGCACCCTGGGCAGCACATGTCAATTTCCCTCTGCACAGAATGATTCATCACACACAGGGAACCTGCAGAGTGTGCGCGTGCACGCGTGTACACGTGCCCGTGTGCATCTTGTCCATTCCCTAGGATGGCCATTGCAGGCCAGGGAGCAGCGCTCAGCCCAGAGCTGAGGGCAGCCCCGAGTGAGGGTAGTTCCCCCTCCCGCCCTGAATTCCCTCACTGGGAAATGTCCTGGTACAACCTTTTCACCCAGAGGCGGGCGGCTTCCCTACCTTACGAGAAAGGGCTGTAAGGGGTGTGACAACAGGCAGGCCACGGGCCTCACACACAGAACAGTGAAATAACTGACGGGATCTGCCCTACAGTCATCCCCCAGGATGTCCAGACCCCTCTGCAGGTCCATAGCCCATGCCCAGTTCCCACGGTGATTCCCGCAGCAGCTCAGATGGCCACCTGCGGGCAGAGACCAGCACAAGGTCTTCATCCGATGTCCCAGATTCTGCACTCTCTTGGCTCTCTCTTTTTTTTCCAAACTGGCCTTTTAAAAAAATTAGATGCATTCAATTAATTGGGCTTGACATAAAATCCAGGCAGAGAATCCTTGTTCCTGAAGACAGAGGCCCAAGTCTGGGAGGTCGGTCCAGGCCTTTCCACTCCAGCAGATGACGCAGGCGAGTAGCAGCGCTGGGGCTGGACGGCAGGTGCAAAAACCCCAGATGCAGTCCTCGGACCCCTTTCAGAGGCGGAATGGACAGGGAACCTGCCTGCCCGGCCTGGGTCCTAAGAGAAATCCAGCACAGCTCGGAAAGGGCCCAGACTTCTCAGAGAGGGCACTGCAGCTCCTCCCTCAGGCTCACGTCATGGGGGCTCGGAGCACGCCCTCAATAGATAATAACTGAGAGTTTGGCTGGGGCGGTGACACCAACCCAGGTAAGGACCAGGCAGCGTCCCTGACTGGCCCGGTCCCCGACTACCTCGTCTGCCACTTTTCCCTGCTCTGCATGTTGTGCAGCACGGTGAGTGGCACCCCACTGCAGCCTCCCTCAGCAGTGGCCTGTGGTGGTCACATGGAAACGCTTAAAATGTTGCCACTGACACTCTAGGAAAATTTCAGGTGAGAAAAGAATCACATCCACTTGAGGCTGGTCCATGTGTGTGTGTGCATAGAGTTGCATACGTGTGAGTGCGTTGTGTGTGTGTATAAGTGATGTGTATGTTTGAAGGAGAAAGTGTGTACACACAGAGAGGTGCTTTTATAACAATGTGCTTGCCTTGGAATTTGGAAATTTTCACGGCTTTACTGGAAGTTAGTTTTCTAACGTTCAACGGAAGCTAGGTGGCAGGGGGGATATGGGGACACAGTGTAAGATGCGGGCAGTGCATGGAAGTCTGAAACGATAGTCACCGGGTCAGTGAAGACCACCCGAATCTACTTTGGTCACAGGGCTGGCCAGAGCCCGAGGTGGATAGATTGTAAGTCTCTTCTTCCCGCCTTTCTCATCTGCATGAGTGAAGCTACTGGCGGAGTGAGTGGTGCTGAAACCTCCCTCACGTCTAGGGATGGGGCAGCTCTTAGACTGAGTCAGCAACACTTTGGTATGAATGAATCCATGTGTTTTTCTCTTCTCCTAGCACTGATACTGATAGAAAGGACAGAAGCAGACGTCCTCAATACCGCCCACGATGAGGAAAGGCTGGCTTGAGTGAGCCCTGGGCCTGGTAGGGAGCGGTGGGCTCAGGGCAGCCCTATCTGTTTGCCCAGAGGAAGAGGTGCTTGGGGCACACCTAGGGAGCTTCAGTCATCTGGCCACCAGGGGGCGTCACACAGCTCAGAGGTGGCCTCAGGGCTTCCCTGTCCCCCAAGTAGCCCAGGCTCCTGAGGCCACCAGACAGCTGGTGGTGTGTGTCTGGCTCCTCGTGAGGACTGTCTCCTAACCTGAGACCACAGGGGAGGACACAGAGGTGGGAGGACGCAGCAGGGTATGAAGGGTGTCTAAGGGCCACAGCCCTCTGGGCCCAGCCATCAGAGCCCACCCCTGAGTCCCGGCCTTCACCACCTGCCTTTGCTCCCCACCAGCGTGCTCCCCACCAGGCTTCCCCTGACCAGCCCTACTCCTCTTCCCCAGACGGGCGAGGTGACTTTCCATTCCCTCCTCTGCTCCCTCCGGAACAGAAACACTGGGGCCGGGATGTGTCCTTGTTGTTCTCCGCAGGACCCCAGCGCCTCGCCTGGAAGACAGCAGGCACTCAGTGCTCGGGGTGAACGACGCCGTAGGAAGCGAGCTCAGCCAGCATGAGAGCTCCCACGGCCCCTGTGCGGGACCCCTCTTTCTCATGAGCAAAGGACAGAGTCGATCAACAAACGCTTTCTTGCAGGGTGCCACCACGGGACAGAAAGCCTTGGCACCACGGGCTGAGCCTTAGAGGGATGTGCATGAGAGAAAAGATAAAGCCACTGGGCCACTTCGCACGTCTGCAGTGAAGTCCAGCCTGGCTGCATGTGTAGAAAGAGGCGTGTAGATGTGACAGTTGATTTTCCTGTCTCAGATCTGCATGAGTAAATATCACTGATCATTTTCTTAATTTGGCTTTGACAAACACTGATATTATGGCTGGAAACCCCTCTCCAAAAGGTCTGCTGTCCACGACAGAACTCTGCTAAGGCCGTAAGCATCCAGTCCCAACAGACAGCTGTGGAATTCCACGTCCTAGCAACCACGGTGCACATGGGGTCCATGAACGAGGGTGCAGGTGTTCCAAGCACCTCCCTGCTGGCAGTCCTGCTCTGTGTGACGCAGCTAAGAGTCAGCTAATGGCACTGTGGGGTGTCAGGAAAAGGCTGACTGGTCAGTCATGGGGCAACACTGGGACAATAAGAGAATAAGAGGGTTAGAGGACACAGGCTAGGGTTGATCTGGGCTAGAAGTTTATGTTCCCTGGGGTTCCTCCTGGGACCAGGACCAAATGAGGGACCTTCATGAGCCTGGTGAGATGCCGAGAGTGATGTCCCTGTTACGTTTTCGGGGATCACTGTTTTCCTACACAAGATTGGGGGGTCACTGCTTTCCTACACAGCTTTCCCGCCAGCAGTTTGCTGTCTCCACTTGTGGTTTAAAGTTCCCTCTCCTGAGGAGGGGTCACTTTCCACCCCTATGACTGTTTGAATGGCCAGGGTCCAGTCATTTCAGCCTTGCTGGGGGGCCCAAAACAGACTGAAATGTGGGAACAAAATGCCTCCATGTCCCACGAGTCCTGGCGGGAGGAGGTGCCTCTGCAGAGAAAGGCGCCCTCATCTCCCGTCTTCACCCAAAATGCGTGCGGGGCTACTGCTGCCCAGTGAGGAAGCCCTCCCCAGCTCCGCACACCGTCAACTCTCCTGAGCTCGCAGCACGCCGGCTCTGCACCCTGAGTCCAGCCCCTTGGGAACCGTTTGCCTCACCAAGTTATTAAGATGGCAAATATAAGCGTGTTTTTTAAACTATTAATGTATCTCACAAATATTTGATTATGTTGCTGTTTCTATGATGTTTTGGATATTTTTAAGTTTTTGCAAAACACCTACAACCTGGTGAGCTCCCAATACTTTTTCATTAAATGAATAAAATTACTTCATCTCCACAACGTGATGTCTCACCTTAACCCTTGCCTTGCCTCAGGAGAGCACACGGGCCTACACAAGGACCCCTCAAAGATTCTGATTCAGTATGTCTGAAATGGGGACAAAAAAGTGATTCTGATACAGAGCCCAGCAAGTGATCAATTAGCAGCCAATGGTCATCTGCGCAACCTAAGTGGTTTCAGAAGACCACAGACAGAGATGCAGAGACACAGACAAGGGACAAGCTGCTTGGGAAGGTAACAAAAGAAGGGCACCATGGTTTGCTGAGCACCTCTTTAGTCCCCAGGCCCAGGGACAATGTGAGTTTTAAAGTAGTGCTTTCGAGTGCTGGGTGCACTGGAGAGAGAGGCCCATCTGTGGGGCTGAGCTGTCCAGCAGCTTCCAGGGAAGCCCGCCCACCCTGGTCGCACTTAGAGCGGCCAGGGCAGATGTGTGAGCAGGAGCTCAGTGAGCAGGGCAGGACGCCAGGCAGAGGGACAGGCGCCAGCGAAGGACTGCAGGCATGACATGAGGCTATTCCAGAAGATACACACCCAGATCTGACAGCCTCCCTCAGCATGTACATGGAGCATCATGTAGAGAAGTAAGAGCCCGTGGGTTACACAAAGAAAAAGCTATGTGTGCAGACACACTCTCACACTTATAGACACACACTCACACTTATACACACAGTCACTAATAGGCTCACACTCACACTTACATGCACACTCATATTTATAGACCCACCCACTCCCATTTATATGCACACCTGCTCACACTTACAGACACTCACACTTATAGACACACACTCTCACACATATACACACACAGCCTGAAATAAAGTCATATACTACTTTTAAAGAATCATCTGGAAATCTAACAATTAAAAAAAGAGATATTTGAAAGTGTTCATTCTTTATAGGAAAACTGTAAAACATTTTACAAATAATGAAATAATAGTTTTTCCGTTATGATTGAGATAGAGGTTTCCCTAGGGGTCTCAATTGTTTCATAGAACATTATATAAAAGCTTGGCAAAAGGAAAAAGAAATTAAAAGCTTAAATTAAGAACCATTGCCAGTTAAAAGTCAATTGGAAATTATGAAACAGGGTCTATGAAATTATAAGAAGCCAAGGGGAATAGAATTTGATTTATAAAATGTGACATTAAATTTTTCAGGGATACAATTCATTTAATTAAAATGAAGTAAACCTGTAAATGTCACCTCTAAGTGCCCCGTTCTTATCAGGCTGTCTCCTTCATTCACCCATGCTGAAGGAGGTGGCCACGGCACCATTTCCCTCAAACAGATTTACCTTCTTAATTCTTTTTTGCTTAGGGCAACATCTAAAATCATTGACCAGGCACACGCTGGACAGTGGGCCAGAGCTGGTGGGCAGCACGCAGACACGGACTTGATTTGCAAGGCTTAGCCCTGAGATCCAGGAAACCCTGAACCTGTAGGATCCCACACTGACTGCACATGTGGATGGGTGTGTGCTCTTTTCAACGTCAGAGGGGTGGCTTCACACATTTTCACTTTGCCAGATGCACGAAATGACATTTGCATGAGCTGAGACCCAGGAGAGAGTGGCCATGGGTCACGGGTCACGTTCAGATCACGTGTGGCCACTCAGTGACCTGGGACCGCCTGCGGACTGTCTGAGGAAAGCACAGCAATACTCCCCCCAGACTGTCAATATCAGTTACAGGGCTGAGCAGGGCCAGGAGGGGAACTCGGGGCAGAATTTAGCTTTTGTTATGCACTTTTGTAGTGTTTGAATTATCACGTCTAACACATATT